AAAAAAATGTACCATAAAAAATACTGAGCGCATGTAGTCCTTACACACGGAAGAAGTGAAATCTAATAGAGAAAATTCCAGAAAAGAAATTTGCACTATAAATATGTACATATATTGTAATAAATTTAATTGTAAAATCTTTGCACGAGTTTTATTTTTATTCTCTTTTTATAAGTTGCTTAGTTTACTTATTATTTTTCGAAAAAATATCTTGATCTTAATCTCACTCTCAATTCTTAATCTTTATTTTTATCTGTAGTAGCCTTGTTATGCAATCCATCTAGCGATTTTTTTTTTATTGTTGCGCTAAAAGTGTACATATGTAATATACATACATTATACTACGTTCAAATTGACGAGCTAAACATGTTAAATGGGCTTCAACCAGTTAAATGAACAAAACATGTTCATAAACAAGTTAAATCGCATGCAATTGTTGTTGGAAAATTGAACCAGTTAAATCATTTAACTCGTTTGAAAACCAGTTCAACGCAGAGTTGTATCAGAAAGCTTTCTGCTCTGGCTAATCAGAAAGACCCAAAAGCTTTCATTTGACACGCCATCGTTCAAAAAATGTACATATATTCTGAAAAATATTAAAAATTAAAAATGATCAAAAAATACCAAAATTGTATGCATGTCTGCCCACCAAATAAAGACGCCAAAGCGGTAATTAGTTATTTCCCATGAGGTCTCATCGTACGCAGAGATAAATAGTGCATACAAACTAAACATTTTGAAGTCTCTAAGTAATCCGTATGCGTTAATATCATGAAGCAGACATTCGCTCAAAACAAATTGAAACACAAAAACTTGATTTTGAATTTATTTTTTTTTTGATTTTTTATTGGTAATCAAACAACCGTCAAAGTTAACTCTAAATGTTCAATGTGGACGATTTTGTTTTCCAAAAAGCTCTTTTTCATTTAACAAGTTAAATGGGGGCAATTTGAACGTAATATTAGGCTGGTTCAAAAAATTATATTTTTATCAAAATCTTTTGTGAAATATTTTCGAGACAGTGAATGAAGACGCTTGTCAAAAGTAAAGCGCTCAATATAAGATTTAGAAGTCGCCCATCGCAAATTTCTATTTTCCAAAAAATAGAATGAGCGATGCATATTTTTGAAGCAATATGAAGACTGTAAAAAAAGTCTCTTATGATTTTCCATAAATTCACTCCTACAAAACTTATTCAAGTTTAAGGTTGAACATATACAAAATTTAACGTTTTTCGGCAAAATGTTACAACTTATCACCAAATACCACAAAATTCGTGGTATATTTAATAAATTTTAATTTTCTTCGAAAAGAAGGTCAATTAAAAATTTCTGAATCGTAAAACTTAATAAAGTGTGTAACACAATTATACGCCACTCCTATATTGACAAGTTTTGGCTATTAATTTTATTTTATTTATTTTTTTAATCTTTTTTTTTTTTAATTATAGTTTGTTCTTTAATAAAAGGACGCTTTAAAATCTCAGCACACGTTTTTTGTGATCCCTGCTTTAGATCAGCGTTGGCCAGAGAGAGCTTGAATTTTCGCCATGAAATGGCAATTTTTTTTTTAGATAAACAAGTACAAAGTAAAAGCTCTTTCCAGCCGAGGTTTATTAAACAAGGTGTGATTGACAACTCAGGTAAGCTCTCTTTTAAGGTACTATTATGCCAAAAAATATAAACAAGCGATTCAAAATTCATAAAAAATTTGTTCAATATGACTTCATAGGATGCTTCTTCTGAGAGCAATGTCAAATTCAATCACACTCTGTTGAAAACATTTTGTTTACAGCTAAAACTGGTTAAGAGCTTTTCAAGATATCAGAAATACTTCTGAGCGTGTTGGAGATTTATGGTGTTTTCGTTTCTACCAAAAAATTGCGCGTTTTGATTGCCCCTTGCAAAAAAGGCACATTCTCTGCCCCCTGAAGCTTTGTCAGGGGGATGGTTGCCCTAAAAATCAGATCGTTGCTTAAAATGACAATATTATGAAATACGTGAGCTAGACAAGGACAAGCAAGGCAAAAACTTGCCCTTTTACAGAGTTGAGTATTACATCAGATAGATTTTGCACCGATAAGATAAATGACTTACCGTTATAAAAGCTTTGCGCAGTTGCACCAGTTTGTTTTCGCTTTACGAAATTCTGATCGTTATTAAGCGTTAAGCTACTTGCATTTCTGCTGGCGACTGTACCCGAAAATTTGGTTGAAGTCTCTTGATCTTTACTACGCTGATATTTGAGTACCACGGACGATGAACAACGCCACTGTGCGTTGCCGATCATACGAGAAGCAGGACAGTGGAAAATCAAAGATGTCATCTGGTTGCTGCTGTGAGATCCGGCGAATTCACAAACGCTCAATCAAAATAATTATCAAAGTTTCTGTGAACTAGCTCTTATCTTTTGACATATGTATATTTAAACGTGTAGCACATTAATGTATGTATAGGTAATCAGCTGTGTTAACTAGACGGTGTGTTTGTTATTGTTAGTAGTTCTAGACGAACGAGATCATTATTTAATGATGATGTTTAGCTAAAAGAGAGAGAATTTTGTATATGCACGAAGGTGTTTTGCGTGTGCAAATTTACATTACATTAGTACATACATATATATGTATATACATTAGGGTGGTCCAAAAAAAATTTCCTCCAGCCAACCCCCAGATCTGAAGAATATCAAAAATAAGGAGACACGTATTTTTTTTATTTTGAAATCAATTAATATTTATTCGTGCCGCCGGGGCTTTGAAGTTTCCCATGTATTTTATATGGGAAAAATACAATGAAAATAAATATAGTTTTTGATCGAATAAGAATGTTTCCCTTCAGAAGTCTTCAAACAATAACACTATGATGCTTATTTAACTTCAATATTTTACTTAGCGTGATTTAATAATTATTTTATGTTTTCATAACCACATCACGCACGAACAGCTCAATGGATGTGTTTATTTTTTTCATTCTACTCGATTTTTTTTTGTGGGTAATAAAATTTGAAAAATAGAGTTGTCAGATATTAAATTTATTTAAAGGCTCAATAAAATAATTAAATTTCTTCATCAAAACTAAAATTGTTTATTTTTGAAGGGGGTTGCCACCTTTCTACGAAAAAATTTATTTTCCCCATATAAAAGACATGGGAATCTTCAAAGCACCGGCGGCACGGGTAAATATTAACCGATTTCAAAATAAAACAAGTAAAAAAGTCGTAAGTTCGGTCGGAGCCGAACATTAAATACCCGGCGCAAGTATTCAATATAGTTTTTTCACCTTTCCGAAAACTACCGCTACGTGGTGAACAGGGGTGGTTTTACGTCTATTTCAAAAACACCTTCGATAGAACGATCAGTTAAGATATAATGAGATAAACTTATATAGATATATGTGAGCGACATCACGCCCATTTTCCAAAATTCCATAAAAATGTTACTTCTTTTTAAGGGATTGTTGTTAGTATCAATTTTGAGTAAAATTAGCGTCCTTAAATTTCGAAATATCGCAGTTTCAAGCATTTCTGAAATTTACGTTATAGAAAAATGGGCGTAGTTTTAGTCAGATTTCAATAACTTTTACCCTTTTGCATTTATGTGGCAAGCAAAATAATCATACCGAGTTTCCCAAAATTTTATTATAAGCGTATTTTTTGCTAACGAATTACTACAAACATCAATTTTGGATAAATTAGCTTGGGTATTGATTGACGATTTCTTTTTTCATTCTGATCGAATCGTTTTGCCTGTTACAAACAACTGTTATGTAAACAAAGTTATAATACCCTTGTGCACAAGTGCGCTCGGGTATAAAAATACGTGTCTCTTTATTTTTGATATTTTTCAGTTCTGGGGGGTGGCAGCGGGAAAAATCAAAAAAGTAAATTTGCCTATATATTTTTTTGGACAACCCTAATGTAGATACACACATATATAATAATATATTTATTTTTGTATACACGTGCGTGAATTAGTCAATAAATTTATGGAATTACGAATAAATAATTTAGATTGTATTCACAAATGTGTAGCAATAAAAATGCACTAAAACACATAAATTTCGTAATTTCGGTAAAAGTGCACTTTAGCGAAAGTAGGCCAAAATTTATGAAAAAATTCAAGCGAGTTACCAATCGACGCGTTTTAATGCACACAACAATAATTCGAGACCGGAAATTCACATTTTTAATTCATTAAAGAGTTATTCACAAAAAGCACCAGTTTTCCTCCATCTTATTTATATTAACTACACAAGATTGTAGTGCGGATTTTCACCATCGGAATATTGCTATGAAATACAGAATTTCGCGAAAGTGTACACTTAAAACATCACAAATGTATAAAAACTAATAAATACGTGTTAAATTGAGTTCAATTATTCCATTCATTTGCGTGAAATTCGTCAAAACATAGTGCGGAAAGTACAAGGGTTTTTTTGCAAATAACTCTTTAATGAATTAAAAATGTTAATTTCCGGTCTCGGATTGTTATTATTGGCGTTAAGACGCGTCGATTGATACCACTCTCGAGCTTGTCCGTCCATTTTGACCTACTTTCGCTAAAGTGCACTACTACCGTAATTTTTATCGCAGATCTTAATTTTATTTTAATTTTATTTTTTTTAACTAGTCAATTACTTTATGTATTCACTAAAATCAACCAACACTCACATAAGTCAAGAAAAGAACCTTTAAAAGTCTAGTGACCGCGTCCAGCTCTCATCGCCCACTGTTTGTCTGCGGCCCATGCTACTAATTATCCAAGTAACAAGTACATTTGTAAATAAGTCATGAGAATTCGCAAAACTCTGCAGCTATTGTGAATACGCGCGCTGAGAGAATAACAAAGTGAAAAGTCTATTTTAAAGTAGGGACTGTGGGCAGTATTTAATGCGCATACCTACACAAATTGTTACAATCGATATATAAATTGAATTAATCAATAAATATTCCGTTCCGCCTTATGAAAATGCAATTTAAGTCCTAATCGGGAGCCGTTAACCGATTGATACCTTAATAGGCATGTCTAATACATATATTTAAAATGTTTTTGTTGAGTAGGTTAAATATAATTTTACACTAGCCAAACATTGTCGTCCCGCCCATCGAAAATTTTAAATAGAATTTATTTTTTTTCTCTATTATTTTTATTTAAATATGAAACCAATTGCTAACTGCCGATTTCACCAGCAACTTAAATGGAAAATGCTTTTTTATTTTTTGTCAATTTCCGTATAAAATTCAAAAAGTTGAAATCATTTTTCACTTAAATTGCTTACATGAAATTGGCTGTTAGCCTTAGACAGGCTGGGATGACAATGTATTTTGCTATACCACTCCAGCTATGAGTCAAATTTAAACCCACTGGAGATCTGCGATTCACAGCATTTTATTTAAGATAAACTCATTTGCCCGTAGTTATAGTCAAAAATTGGAAATGCTCCCTTGTTTCGCGGCGCCTAATAATAACTTTTTCGTCGGTCAATACAAAACTAGCGTTGAAGTAAAAAAACGGTTTGTAAAGTAAAGGGCAGTATGCAGCTCTCAAGAAAAGCAAAAATTCCATATAAAATGATGTACAAGAGATGGAAAGGAAATTTTCTTGAGTCAAATTTCCTTACGGCACACAGTGCCGCCTAATTGGGCAAAAATCGAAAAATTCGTTGTCTGCAATGTGAACGTGCTTGGTATTTTTGTAAAGGTAATTTATTTAAAAATAATTAAATAGAAATTTCCCTATGAAAGAAATTATATGCCGCCAGGAAGCCACTAAAGTCGACAAATTTATAAAATTAAGAATAAGAATTAATAAGAGCATAGTCATGCGTAAGCTTTTCACGGAAACAAATGTCAAAAATACATTCTTTGAAATAAAATGTTTGTTTGACGTTTTTTATTTTCATATAGATAGTAGAGAGCTACAGGATTAAAATAATTGGAATAAAACTAAACACAGGGTATTCCAGAAAAACCATTTTTTTTATCGAAATTCAAAAAAAATTGTAAATTTTAATGGAACGAATAAAAAAAAATATGTAAAAATATGTTATTTTTTATTATTTTATTAAATAGTACGGGTTTTTAGCTTTCGAAAGAAGAAATAAAAACTTGCTCATTTGTTGCACTTTTTGAAGTAATGCGTTTTTTTTTGCTAATGCATAAAATCATTTTTTAATTTTTTTGTCGGTGTCATCAGATCTGCACGATTCGTTCTATTTTTAAAAATGAAGTGTAGGATAAAAGTCTTGACCTGTATACAATAGGGGTTTATTATTTTTAAAGAGTTGCCACCTGTTAAAAAATGTAATTAAAATTTTTTAATAAGTTAAATGAGTTATTAAGAGATGGGTATCAATAGAAATGTGTATAAAAAGGGTTTAATTCTTAACTACATGTAGAAGGTTGCCACCTGTTAAAAAAATCAGATTACATTGGAATTAAAGAAGTTAGGTTATTTAAATAGATAGGTATCACCATATGAGAGTCAGACGAAAGAGGTTTAAGAATGTTTTAGCTTGAAAATACTAAGAAAAGGGTTGCCACCTGTTTGTTAAGTCAAATTTAGTTAAACTAAAATAATAATTGTGTTAAACCAAAGGTTTACAACATCGGTTTTGTTATTTTATTACAAATACATACATTGTCAATCATTGATGATCTGAAATTAACTAAGGAATGCTTTTACTCTTCACTTATTTCTTGCTTAATATGACCAATTTTTTATTTTGTCTGATACCCATATTGATATACATAATTCAGTTACCTTATTCCATATATGTAATACTTCTATATTGCTAGTACAATGTAATCACAATGTGTTTTCAATTCGAAATCAAAGAAAGAAAGCCTATGAAAATGTTTGTGATTGTAGAAGTATACGTGTATTTATATTTGTAAACTACTACATAGAATGAAGTGCCATGTCATAACAGGGGCGGTTCAGATAATTAAACAAACAAACACAAATTTTACGGTATCATGTTTCCTTCATACCGCAGTAAACGCAAACTAATTTTGTTCAAAATTAAATTTTGATGCATAAACGCTCTTAGACTGTGTTTTCACCTGTGCGGAGTTGACTTGACAAGTTGAAGAACGCATGGAACGGGCCATAATTCGAAATTTTTTACAGCGAATATGATATATATTTACTGCTATCACCGCTAAAAGTGTAAATAAATTCTCGACATACACCCTAAAGTCCAAACATACGCCACAAAAGAAAATTAAATGACCAATTTCTCATTTGCGGGGCGCTTCGGAATCGAAGCATTTAACTCTGCGCCTACTTTCTTATTCTGAATCGGCATTTCGGCAAAAATTTGCTTTCATTTTCTTAATAGTTACTCTCTGTCAGACTTTTGTTCATCTAGACTCTAGGTCCTAGAGTATTTCTGCTTCAATAAGTAATTTTTGAAAAAAAATCCTAAATTTTTTGCTTCACCTGGTATAATTCCGCCATGAATTGACCGAATCCAATAAAGCACGCTATTCGTTTCTGTTCTGTGCTTATTGACGCCAACTGGAAATGCCAACTGATGCTAAGTCCTTCTGTAACTGGTACCTTTATCCTTTGCCACCACAGCGGCTGCAGTGTTTCTCATAGATATACAAATATTGTATTTTTTGTTAATTTTTTATGTGAATTATTTTTCAATAAGAATTTGTTAAACCGCTCCTGAATTTTGAAAAGTAAAAATTTCAGTTTGGGTACATTCTCTTATCGGATCTCTCTTTCTTTTTTGAATATATCGACACTCTGATGTTGGGGAATGGACTTTGAATTTACTAGCAATATAGAAGTACTACATATATGCCTTATTCCCTTAATTAAAGTCAGTTTGATTTTTTAAACATGTGGCAACCTTTCTACGTGACGTTTATAAGTAAAGCATTTTCAAACAAATTTCAATTGATACCCATATTGTAATATCTAGTTCATTTAACATTTTAAATAATTTTAATAAAATTAGTAACAGGTGGCAACCCGTTTCAAAAAAAATAAAACTCGATTGCAATATACAGACCAAGCCCTGTCATTTGACACCTCACTTTTAAAAATAGAACGATCTATATGTAGATACTAGGGATGTTGAGAACGTGGAATTTTAGACATCCGCGGATGCGGATGTTTAAAAGCTAACATCCGCGGATGAGGATGCGAATGTGGATGTTAAATATTTTTAAGAAATAATTTGGTGAGTACATTAGGTGATTGAGGTAAATAAAAAATGGAAAAGTTAGTCATTTTTAATATTTTTTTATTTAGTACTTAAATTTAAAAAATTGGAACATTGTATTTAAGAAAGAGTAATTTTGCTTTTTTTACGGGTTACAGCCTGTTTCCTAACGGGTCGTAAATCAAACCTGCGCCACTAAATAACTACTCGCTCGTGGCGACAAACTTGAAAAACTTGACAAAATTGTAAATTCTTTTCGATTGACGCTGCACCAGTTGAGAGCACTTTCAGTTATATTTCTTTTTTTATTGCGGTGCAATAATCCCTTTTTGAGAATTGCATCGGGTTGCAAATGTCGGATGTATCCTCCCGAAAATCTTGTTATTTTGTTAAAAAAGTACCCCGATTTTTATAATAATTTTAATTATTGGAATCACGAACGATAAAGGTCTCCGATCTGCTTAGTTCCCGGGTGACTTCTTGGAAAGATTCACCTGTAATGAACAGCTTGTAATTAGTTTTGTTTTATTAGTTAG